CACCAATGCTCCCGGCCACTTACCTCGCCCCACTAAAGTTTTCATCTGCACGGGGGGTGGGGGGGAATCGGACTGACTTCAGAGTTGCATTGTAAAATTCAGAGGAAAATCTACTGAAGTCTGCCAGTGAGAGCCGTACGCCGGGAACTCATTTAGCGACCTCCTTCTCAAGTCTGGGGAACTAGTGAAGGTAGACAGGTCAGTCAGAACGTATCTTCACCGAGCCCAGCCCAGGACACCTCTTACGTAGTGTCCTAAAGCTAAAACGGGTCTGTGCAAACCCACATCCGTGCTAGACGCATTCTCCCTTGAGCCCTCTGGAAGCAGCTGTAGTCCTGCACGTACCATGAGCGTTTTCTTGCTCTTACTACTTTTCTCCGCCAGCCAATGCACCTTCACCTAATCACAGTTCAGGATCTGGAACGTGCCCCATGCAAACCCTTCACCAACGGCACTTCCAAGCCTTGTAGCTGCTCTCTGCCACGGTGCTGCCAGCACGATTCCAGGAGGGTCAGAGGCCAAGTCACTTTCCCAAGGCTCCGGAAGATGGAGCGCTATGAAATGACTTCTGAGTCATCTACTGTATCAAGTGAAGACTTACCCAGGGGACCTTTGTCTGACTACATGTACTTCGAAAGATGTATCTAAACACATAAATAAATTTTGTTATGCATTACTTGCCAAAGGACCCACCACAAGGAGAATATTTTACAAACTGGTTTCAATTAAAAAGGAGAATAGGAAAATTTGTAGTGGATGTTATTTTACAGTTAAACAGTTTTCAAACTTGATTTTTTTTTTCCTCTTAAAATATATGCATGTTTATACGTGTGTGTGTATGTGCTTATGTGTGTTCTGATACAAAAGGAGCCACGTAGGGACCGGATTCTAGATTCTGTCGGACACATACTTTGAGATGTCAGTGCCAACAGCTCTGCTCTAGGTTTGCTTTCTAATACAGAAAAGAAGAAGAAGGGAGAATCTCTAGAGTCTTCTATATTTCGAATATTCTGTTTCTAAAAGTGAAAGTAATACCTAGGTTCTGTAAACTTATTAAACACTGGAAGCAATATAGTTGTCTTTTTTTTTTAATTTCATTTATTTATTTGACAGAGACACAGCGAGAGAAGGAACACAAGCAGGGGGAGTGGGAGAGGGAGAAGCAGGCCTCCCGCGGAGCAGGGAGCCCAATGCGGGGCTCGATCCCAGGACCCCGGGATCATGACCTGAGCTGAAGGCAGACGCTTAACGACTGAGCCACCCAGGCGCCCCTATAGTTGTCTTTCTTTAAAGAAAAAAGGACATGCTTCACGTTAAATAATTATATGCTGCTTTAAAAATTTAGGGGCAATAGACATATTGCTTATCTTCGAGTACAGTTCACATTACCAACCTCGCAGTAACTGACAGGATTTAAAAAAAGAGACTGAACTGTAGCAAAGTCAGAAGTATGGCCAACTTGCCGTGTCTTACACGTACTACATCTAATAATGTTTAACAGCAAGCACTAGCTACAATGGAGGCCAGTGAAGGCTCAGCAAAAATGAATTATTAAATTGGTCTGCTTATATCCCGTTACAGACTTCTTATGAATACTTGATTTTATTTTGTATAATTGACTAGAGCTGACAGGAAAGGACAGGTTTAATGACAATCAAATGAAGATCAACTAGGCTATGTGTCACACAGGAGAGCTGCCTCAAGTGGTGATAAAGTAAGTGATGGGACACGATGAGACTGAGCACCGGAGTCTGTCATACACGGTGATAAGTTATCCTGTAATATTAGTAGATTGTCTGCACAGCTCAGGAATCCAATAGCTCTGAGAGAGATGGGCACAGTATATGCCCAACAAAAGAAAAACAGACATTGACTTCACATATGTAATACCAGATCGTTTCCCATTAAACTTAATTTCTAAATCATTTATATGACTTAATGACTCCACATGAAATTTTTAAGCTGGTGGGAAGATGAATAGCACCAAAGAGAGAATGTGGATGAGTACAGTGTCATTTACCTACCCCTGCACCACTAACAGGTGACGGCTGAGCTATTGTAATATGTCCCAAACACTTAAACTATAAGGTCATCACTGAGGAGACAAGTGAAAAAGATATTGGCATTTATAAGAGACTGATGAAAATTAGTTCTAAAGCATTAATTTCTCTTAATACCACTAAAAGAACTGTGTGCATTCAGGAGATATTTGATCTGAATTAAGAAACTGATGAAGCAATTGATTAATTGGAATTTAAGCCATCAGTCCCCAGATCCATCAACAGCTTCATCTGCATTCTAAACAATTAGATGCCGGCCCCACAGAAAGCCCTGTGTTAATACACAGTCAATATGACACCACAAAGAGACTCCCTGAGCTGCAACTGTCCAAGCTCCGACACACCACACAGATTTAAGACTTTTATACTGGCTAGGGTTTGAAGATTTTTATTTTAGTAGACAATGCACTATCAGATTCTTCTGAACTGAAACTGAAAAGTAATAATATCAATAGTGTTAGTTGATACACAAAAAATTCTGAGTATGTGTACTTTTGAAAACGAGACAATTAAAAAACTTAAAATAATCACTTAAAGTCACAGAAACAGAATTTCCAAAGCTAAGAATTCCTGATTTAAAGCAATATCATGACACACATTTTATCCAGCTGTGAAGCTATTTGGTCCATTTCAGAAAAAGAAGAAAAACAGCATGAAATAGCAATCTGACATTTTAATATCTGTATATCTACAATCAGTGAATTGTAACAATTTAAATTTAATAGAAAAAAATAATAAAACTGAGAATTGTAAGCTTAGAGGCGCCTGGGCGGCTCAGTCAGTTAAGCGTCTGCCTTTGGCTCAGGTCATGATCCCACCATCCTGGGATCAAGCCCTGAGTCAGGCTCCCTGCTTGGCGGGGAAGCCTGCTTCTCCCTCTCCCTATGATGCTCCCCCTGCTTGTGCTCTCTCTCTGTCAGATAAATAAATAAAAATCTTTCCAAAAAATTAAAAAAAAAAAAGATTCTCCAAGAGATCCAGGACCTACAAAATATGAAGTATCATTATACTACAACATGTCCCTATAACATGAAACCCAAAGGAAAACTAGAGGGAAAGAAAATGTTTTTATTTTTATTTATTTATTTTTTTTTAATTTTTTTTTTTTTTAAGATTTTATTTATTTATTTGAGAGAGAGAGAATGAGAGACAGAGAGCATGAGAGGGAAAAGGGTCAGAGGGAGAAGCAGACTCCCTGCCGAGCAGGGAGCCCGATGCGGGACTCGATCCAGGGACTCCAGGATCATGACCTGAGCCGAAGGCAGTCGCTTAACCAACTGAGCCACCCAGGCGCCCAGAAAATGTTTTTAAAACGTCATCAGTTTAGGGCACCTGGGCAGCTCAGTTAGTTAAGCGTCTGCCTTAGGCTCAGGTCATGATCCTGGGGTCCTGGGATTGAGCTCCGCATCGGGCTCCCCCTGCACGGCGGGGAGCCTGCTTCTCCCTCTCCCTCTGCCTGCCACTCCCCCTGCTGTGCTCTCTCTCTCTCTCTCTCCGTCAAATAAATAAATAAAATCTCTAAAAAAAAAAAAGTCATCAGTTTAGATATGTTATTTATCCAAAGCTAACATAATATAGAGTATCTCATTTGCCTAATGCTCTAATATTCTATCTATGTTTTGCTGGCTATAAGTCATTCAGAGGCTGAAGAACTAAAACTGCTGTTAGTCACATGATCTTCAACAAGGCATTCATATTGTTCAGCCCTCAGACTCCTCCTCTAGAAAATGGGACAGTTCTCATCATCTTCCAGTTTTAAAGTGCTGGATTTCCTTCATCTTTTATCCCCTAACAAAACCTGTTATTTCTTTTAAGTTAATTATCTAAAAAACATTTCCATATTTAGGATAATGTTCTTAATCTCATATATATTTCTACCACAATCATTAAAAGGGTCATTAATATGAAAGCATTTCTCAAACGCAAACATTTTTCTATTCATTATATTGAATACATTTAGAAACAAAGACAAACATCATAAACAATAGGTGATGTAAACAGGGATGGCAATGTGAAAATCTCTGAAAATCCATTTCTCCAGAACTATAATGAGAACATCAGTAAAAATCATCCAAAGCAACTTTTTCAGAACTCTGGAGAATAATCCAAGCCTTGCAACAACCCTGGGTGCATTTACTCGAGACACATGGCTCCATGGAGCTACAGAAGAGGTGAAGACCAGGCCTGGAAGCAGCCAGCTGGCCTCCTTTGGCCAGCCCTCAGAGCACAGCCCCATCTCACTGGACAGGAAACGGAGTCCAGCTGTATTTCTGAGAAGAAAGGGAATGGACTGGAAGAGGAGCTCTCTAGTCTGCTCCACAGGAAGAACAAAACCTCCCGTTGAGTAACACACAATAAAGTAAATGTATCAAGTGTACTTGATTATTAGGTGTAGCTGAACTCTTCTGTTAATGAACACACAGTTCTTCTCCTTGACCACATGAGGCTTCCATCTCATTTCCCCTTTCCCACCTTCTTCTCGCTGGTGAAAGCTCAGGTCATATAAGTTATCATTTATCCTGCGAAGCCCACTTCAACTCACCTACACAAACTGTCTGCTTCCTCTTCTGTTCCCCCCACCCATCTTATGGTAAATAAACGTAAATAAACGTTTGCTGAATTAATAAAACTGCAAATACAGAATAGCAATCAAATTTCAAGCAACATCATTTAATTACTTAGATATCAATATAGCTTTGAATGAAAGCACTCATTTGATATAAAGGTTGTGATAGGATTATATTTTTTAAAACAAACATATACACTAAAGATTTTCATTTTAAATATCAACAGTTAAATGTGATTTAGAATTAATGAATTCAATGTATTATCATTCGAAGAAAACTTTTTATAAGAATAAATTTAACTTTTACCTTTCAAAATGAAAATTAAACAGCTAAAATACTAAATGATCAGCAATTTAAATACAAATAAAAATACCTGCTTTTTCTGATGTCCTAAGAAATACCATGTCCGATGGAATTCTTTGATTCTGCAGAGTAATATAAAACACTAATTATCTATATGCAAGTTTATAAAGTAATACCATTCTATTACAAAGTAGAAATAGCTAGTAAAAACAACTAACTAAAAAAAAAGTTATAATTAAAATTTATACTGAAGCAATTAACATTAATAATTTAACAATTTGTATAATTTATATTTAAATTCATTTTTTAGTTGGACTTTTTTAATGATTCTTTCCCCTGTTAACAAACCATGAAAACAGCATTTGTGATGACTTGAAAACTTCTCCATTTTTGAAAAATGTTAAATATTGCCTTTTCTGTGGCTCTTAACTGTTAACTGAACCCACACATACAATATAGCAGTTTTTGCCCTATAATAAATTATATTCTCCCTAGTAGACTAAATAACCCTGGAAAGTGAGAATAGGATTCTTCCAAAGCCTAACACAAAACAGAACACATCATAAATAAAACACTTACTGAATGTTGAATAAATGAATAAATGTACAACTGAGCAGACAAAAAAGCAAACCCTATAAATTTGAGAGATATTCTTTTATAAAGCAGAAAAGGACAAAAACTCAAAGGTACTTAGAGCATATAAACTTATACAAGTATTCGCTATTCGTATATTTATTTAATCATTACTAATAATTTTGTCAATTGGAAAAGCTGTATCAAACTAAAGAAAAAATATATAGTAAGAACACTTCACACAATTTCATGAAGTACTTATATTTTTTGAGACCTAAGTAAAGATTTACCCACACATGATAAAGAAATGGATTACCGGTCAGTAAGCAAGCAATAAAAACAAATATAAGTCGTTAAAGGTGAAAACGATATGTTGTGGGATAAAGCTACCTTTTTCTAACATGAATAAAGAAAGGTCAATTATTAACATCTAAAGAACTATTAGGTCAAAAAAGAAATCACAATGGAAATTAGAAAATATTTTTAACTGAATGATAATAAAAACTCAGCGCAGCAAAGAGTGTGAAACCATTCTGCCAGAGCCAAAGGAAAGTGTTAAGAGGAAAATATACACAATTAAATGCATACAATATATAAAGGAAGCTAAAAATACAAGCTAAATATCCACTTGAAAGCAGGGGCAGGGGGAGCCAATGAACCCCAAAGAAAGTACAAGGATGCAAGCAAATATAAAAACAGAAATTAATGACCTAGGAAACAAGTATATAAATAGAAGTAATGAACAGCAAGAAAGTATTTTTTAAATACGCCCATTTCAGTAATAAGAAAAACTAAGGTTAGACTATAACTAACAAAAGACAAGTTCTCTAAACAAAAGCTATCAAACATTATTGAGAGAAGTTAAATAAAACCTAAACACACAGAATATATCACTCTCTAAAATCAGAATGCAAAGATGTCATGTGCCCATCAAGTGATATATATATTTAACACAAATCCAATCAAAATCGTAACATGTTTTTTGAGAGGAACTGACAAGGTATTCCTAATATTTAGAGGGAAATGCCAAGGCCAAGAATGAACAAGACAAATGTGAGAAACGTGGAAGGTTGATTCTACAATATAACAAAACTAAAATATTAATAATAGTAGAGCAATTAAGACAAGATGGTATTCCTCTAAGATAGATAATTATACCAATGGGAACACAGAGACTCCAGAAGGGAGGCTCACACAAAAATGGACACTAGATTAATGAGAAAGGTGCTCCTGCAGACCAACGAGGACACTGGTCTTCTCAATAAACAGTACTGAGAAACTAATTTATTAGGTATCTATAGGAGATGACAGGAGCTAATAAATACTAAAGCTCTATATCAATCAAAACATAAGAATATATTCCAAATGAATTCTGCTTCTAAATGTCAAAGTCAAAACTATAAAGCCCTAAAAGATATTACAGAATATTTTCACAACTTTTTGGTAGGGAGTAATTTCTTCCCCACCAACCCTAACAAGATTCCCCCTTCTCCACAAACAAAAATTTAAAAAACAAAACAAAAATCCCCAACTAACTCCAAATGAAAAGATTAATAAAGCGGACTTAATCAAAATTAAGAACATCTCTTCAACAAAGCACACCAGGGAGGAAAAAATAATTGCAACATATAATAACTAATAAGAAACTCCCAGACAGAATACACAACGGCCCATAAACGGTTAAGAAAAGAAGGTATAACTTAGAAGAAAAATGGCAAGTGATTTTAATAGGCTCTTCCCAAATAAGAAAGATTCCCCAAATCATATGAAAAGGTGTCCAACTTGATTATTTTTCAAGAAAATGTGTGTTAAAACCACAACTACTACATACATACTGGAAATGCTAAGGTATAAAGGCTGACAATGCGAACTGTCAGCAAACATGTGAAGCAACAGGAACTCTTACACACTGCTCATTACAGTATAACTGGATACATTACCTTGCAAAATCATTTGCAGTATCTACTGAAGTGGAACCTCGCACACCCCAAAACCCAACAATTCCACTCTTTAGGTATATACACGCTAGCAATGTGTGCCAACTGAGCCAAGTATGACATGGAATTATCATTTCTAATAGGCAAGACTAATAAGCTACCCAAATATCCAGCAACAGTAGAATGGATAAAAGACATACTACGTAACAACAAAATGAATGAATTACGGCTACACACAACAAAATGGGAGAATCTCACAAACAGTACTGGGTCAAAAAAAAAAAGCACTCACCTAAATACACCCTCTACCCCATGGAGTTTTCTAGGCACCCATGTTGAAAAGCAATTAACCACAAATTTAAGGCTTTATTTCTGAACTTTCAATTCTGAATTTTTGCGAGTTCTACGCTGTCTAGGTTATTCTAACATTGAATAAAGCTTTGAAATGGAAAAGTGTGAATACTACAATTTTATTCATCTTTTTCAAAACTGTTTTTCACTATTCTGGGTCCCTTGTGTTTCCATATAATTTTAGAACCAGCTTGTCAATTTCTGCAAAAAAGTCAGCTGGGATGTTGAGAGGGATAGCACAGAGTATGTAGATCAATTTGGGGAGTACTGCCATTTTAACAATATTAATACTTCTAATCCATGATATATATGATGTCTTTCCATTTATTTAGGTCGTCTTTAGTATATTTTGACACTGCTCTGTAGTTTTCAAAGTACAAGTTTTGCACTTTTGTTGCTTATTCTTAACAATTATTTTATTTATAAGTATTTTATTCTTTTCAATGTTATCATAATGGAATTTTTTTCTTAAAAAAATCACTTGAGCATTTGGCTGTGTCTATTTCTGGGTTCCCCACACCGTTCCACTGATCTTTATTTCTTCTTACACACTGTGTTGGTAAATAAAGCTAGGTAGTATGCCTTAACATCAGGAAGTGATCCTTCTCACTTTGTTCTCCTTGTCAAGGCTGTTTTTGCCATTTTAGCCTTGACAAATTAGTTTTAGAATAAGCTTATTTTATCTAAAAAAGTAAAAACAAAAAACAAAACTTCGGGGCACCTGGGTGGCTCAGTCTTTAAGCGTCTTTCAGCTCAGGTCATGATCCTGGGGTCCCGGGATCGAGCCCCGCATCGGGCTCCCTGCTCCGCGGGAAGCCTGCTTCTCCCTCTCCCACCCCCCCTGCTTGTGTTCCCTCTCTCGCTGTGTCTCTCTCTGTCAAATAAATAAATAAAATCTCTAAAAAAAAAAAAAAAACCTCGCTGAGATTTTAATGGGAATTGTATTAAACCTATATTCAATTTTAGGAAAACTGGAATTTTACAGTCTTTGATTACTTTCATGAACACACTGTTATTTTCAGCATACCTAAGATTTTGTTTTCACAGTAGTGCCTGTAAGAGTACTTCATTTTTAATTTCAGTTTCCACATGTTGGAAATGGGATTGATATTTGAGTGGTGATCTTATAATTTGCCACTTTGCTGAACCTATTCATTATCATTAGTTCCAGGTTTTTCATCAGTTCCTTGGCATTGTCTATATACACAATCATGTCGTCTGCAAATGGGGACATTTTCATTTCTTCCTTTCCAATCTGAATTCCTTTAATTTCCTTTACTTGCCTTATTCTATGTAGCTAGAAATGTTAGTTAAATAAGAGTGGTTAAGAACAAACATCCTTGACTTACTCCCAATCTGAAAGGAGAGGCATTCAGAATTTCACTGTTAAGTATGATGTTGGCTATATGTTTTTACAGATGCCCTTTAAACATAATTAAGGTAATTACCATCTAATCCAGACTGTGGATAGTTTTTATCATGAATGGGTGTTGGATGTAGTCACATGTTGATATGATCATATAATTTTCTTTCAGCCTGTTCATAGAGTGGATTACACTGGGTGATTTTAGAATGTTGAAATGGGCCTTAGGTACCTGGAATAAACTCCACGTCATCATGATGCCAAATTTTCTATATATATTGTGGATATCAACTGGCAATTCTTTTCTTTTCTTTTTTTTTTTTTTAAAGATTTTATTTATTTATTTGACAGAGAGAGAGAGAGCGCGAGAGAAGGAACACAAGCAGGGGGAGTGGGAGAGGGAGAAGCAGGCTTCCCGCGGAGCAGGGAGCCCGATGCGGGGCTCGATCCCAGGACCCCGGGATCATGACCTGAGCCGAAGGCAGATGCTTAACGACTGAGCCACCCAGGCGCCCTGGGTCTCACTTCTTTATCCACTCTATCTCAGGATTGGTATATTCGGACTGTTCATAATAAAAGTAATTACTGACACATTAGAGTATAAGTCTGCATTTTATTATTTGTTTTCTGTTGGTTTCCTCTGGTATTCATTCTTCAGTTTCAAATTTCCTGCTTTCTTGTGTGTTACCTGAACCCTTTTCAGGAGTCCATCTTAGTATCTCAGACTGTATCTCTATGCATATTTTTTGTAGTGTTTGTTCTGGGTATTAAAATATGCATGCTAATACTTATTAAATTGTTTAAAATATTTATTAAATTGCATTCCCTCAAAAAAACAGGATAAAGAAACTGTCTTTCAAATTTAGCTGTTAAAAAAGATGTTTAGGCTGAGTAATGAAGGAGGACCCTCAAGTGTCACCTTCAATCCTGCTCTGCTTGTGTCCTCTGGATCCCTCTCAAACACCTGGACTTCAGAGCTGATGTTAGGACCTGGACAACCTTCAACTTCTAAGTCTCCTGTTCCAAACAGTTACCCTACTTGACACATCCCTCAAGTAATAATATTTAAGTCGACATATTTGCCTACAATTTTAGGTACTTCTTAGGAGGGTTCCTTCTTAAGCCAGGAAACAATCTTCGGGTTTTCTTTCTTCGCCCTGCATGCATGATCTAACCCTGACTCTGTACAGTTCTAGCCTACCACTTTCTAAGTGCATGTCAATGAGCTGCTTCTCCGAGGGAGAGTTTGAGGCTGGAAAACAAGGAGTTTATACCCGGATTCATCTAACATGAAAGCCCACATTCTACTCTCTCCCATTGTCCCAGGCTGCTGCTCTCCTGTGAGGAGACACTGGTCGAGATTTGGTGAACACATTTCAAAGACCCATACAATGACTATCAATACACTAATTTTAATTTCACATTCAGATACAGAATTAGAAGGGCTACCCTCAAACATAAAATCCACCATGGAAATATCCAAGCATTAATTCCTGAGTAGCAGTATGGTCAAATAACAGAGAAATTACTTTTCTGGTTAGTGATAAGTACTGCTAGGATCCTTAAATAAAAAATAAAAGGACAAAGCCATTTGCAACCATATCGTTACTATTTCTTTATGATGGTTAAGTCAACCAGTAACTTTTATCACTACAAAAACCACAAAATTGGTTTAACAAACATAAATCCACTAAAAATTTATCATTTCATAGTAATTACTAGAAATTATGTCTCAAATTTTTTAATATGAGTGTAAAACTGGAAATACAAAAAAACTAAGTCAGGTACAGAGGCCACCCCTATTTTTTACTGTACAACAACATTTCCTAAAGGTTAGTGAAAATATTTTAGAAGTCCTTCTGCTGCCAAATCTGTAAACATCAGGGTCAGGTAGGGACCGTACACATGCTCGTATACAATACGGATCTAGTGTGGGAGGACTATCCACACCGCGCTGCCCATGGAGCACTGAAGTGACAAACAGAAAGAAAGATATACAGCTACCACCACATTCAAGTAAAACGTTTACCTGGATGTCTACAAAGGCCCACGTCACTCATCAACCTCTCGCAGGTGGAAAGCACACCTGGGAGGCCAGCAAGAAGCTCAAGGGGAATGCCCAGACATAGATCTAGATGTCTATCTTTCACATCCATCTATATGACTGAAGAGATGAGCTCTTACAACGTGGCCAAGAAGGGCTCACATGTTACTCAGTAAAAATGGAAGCACCAAAGGGCGCACCACTCCACCAACCTAGGCTGCAAAGGGAAGGAGAACGTGCCTAAACAGGAGAGCAAAGGAAATGAGGCCAAATAGCATTCCCTGATCCACAACGAGAGACTACCTGCTCTTCAAACCCCACCATCAACACTGTACCGTCTCTTCCAAGGGAAACAAGAGGTGATGGATGTCACCGCTGCCACCAGGTCCCAGCCCGCGAGTCCACACTGCGGGCACTCCCACCTCCTCCGGGCAGGCCACTGTGAGCTGCTCTGTGGAGGGCTCCCCCCCGCCCCCCACTGTGGACAGGAATGAGGGAGGCCTCCAGCCAAAATCTCATGGAACTGAGGCCCTGAGCCTGCCAACAACCCTCCAGGGAGCTGGAGGTGATGGCCACCTGGTGACTACAGCCCTGAGAAGGACCCACACCAGTCTATACCCCAATCCCTGACCACAGAAACTGTGAGGTAATAAACACTGGTGTTTGACTCACATATGGCTCAATCGTCTCTCACGTCAGCATTTATCCTACAGAAAGAGACAGAGATGGATGTAGAAGGGTGCTCACACAGCACTTTATAATAACAGAGAACACAGACACCACCTGAAAATCTAACCATGGATCAAAAGCTAGTAACTTACAGTGTCCAGACAACTGAATGCTACAGAAATGAGCTGCAAAATCAGTATGTTCAATTTTGTCCCATTTTGTAAAATCAAACAAACACACCCAACAACATTCTCTGTATAGAGATTACTGTAGCAAGATAAAGCCCACTTTAGTCTTGGGGAAAAAGACCTTCTTGTACCAAACATCTCCACGAGGTGGCTCAGGCTGGGTACATGGCACCAGATGGCAGCAAGGGTTCAAACTATTCTTGTAAGAGGCCCTAGTACAACTTCTCCAACAAGAATGTTTTTTAAAAGCTATTCTAGCGCCTTAAAAACAGGAAAAAAAAAAGAAAAGGAAAAGAAAAAACAGAGGCAGTCCATTCATCCACCGTTCCTCAGAGAAGTCAGGGCGTGCAGAAGCACTTCCACCCAGAGCAGGCGGCCCACCCAGTCACCCACTGGGGCACCTGAAAACTTCCAAGTCTGACACTGAGGGGTTTTCTTAATGGCCTTTTCCTACAATAACCTAATAAGCCTTTTCTTTCTAATATTCTCTTACTTCCATTGACCTTTCCTTCTTGAAGTTTCTAAATCCCAAGAATAACATCCAATTACTTATGTGTAATATATCTATCTATAAAAGGAGGTTTTAGAAAATGAAACATATTCTAAATAGGTTCTAACTAATATAATTCTTTGGTCAAATGAAATAATTCTGATAATGCAATATTAAGCAGTTAACACGTCTTATTTTAGACAAAATACAATTTTACCTGCATACACTGAAATGTACTAAAGCAAAACAGACTACAGAAAAATCTAGATTTTTTTTCATGTGTATCATATCTTACACAAAGAAGTTAAGAGTTAAAATAACTGTCTCAAACAATTTTTCTTCAGATTCAAAGTTACTGCAATCAAGCTAAATGTTAATCACTGGCATAGACAGGTCTAAAATATATTAAAAATGCATCAACCTTTTCCACTATGATGAGGTCTCCAACTTGTATGTCTGAACTCTTAACTTGCACTTTACCTTAAAAAAAAGAAGAAGTATAATCAACTCAAGGAAACAATAGCACACCAGAGTTAAAGTTTCAATTGACAAATAATACTTCAGAAATAACTTTTGGGGAGTGGGGGTAACACCAGGAATTTATCTGTACTTATACTTCAAAGTAAATTTATTTCACATAGACACAGTCACTAAAAATGAACTTCTCTTAGTCAGCTCCCAAGTACAAACAGTTAGCTGCCCCCCAACAAAAGACGAGAGTGCTCCACCCAGAAGGTTCTTCCCAAATCTGCCATTATTTCAGGTCTGGGTCCAGCAATGACGATGAGAAGCAGCACTAAAGATGATTTAATGAGTGAATAAAATGAAGATGTAAAATCCGTATATTAATATTGTGAATGGCACTGACTGACACGTAACTGACAGAACAAAAGAAGTAAAGAAAATGGTACATAAAATCACCGTGCGCTGGTAGCTTTACAGATGGTTCCGTACTGGTAACTGATAATGATAAGGACGAAAGCCTTATCAAGAAGTGATTCTTCTACATGATACAGTGTGTAAATTCTTAAATTATCTATATAATATCTAGTATAATAATCATCTATAAAATTTAACAGTCAGCACTATAGAACGTTAAGGTCATACAGAGTAGATGAAATGTTATGTACTTAACTTGAGACGCCATCCTACATAAGTAACAAAACTTACTCAAGTTCTCTCTCTCCCTGGGACTCTGGACCCTCCCTCCCTCCCTCCATCAATCTCCCTTTTAGAACTGGCAACAGCCTTGTGGATCTATTTTTACCTCTTAGTGGCTCTTTTCACATGGGAAAAGACCTATGTCTTTACATTCAATTTATTCTGAAAGCTAACAGAACAAGAGGTAAGTTTATATCACATTATCAAAAACATTACCAGCCATACCACTGACTTTTAGACCATATTCAACTTATTACAAACTTATTTCCTAAATACTTCTTGGCAGCTGAGTTTCATCAGTGCCACACCTGTTCCTAAAGATGTTTTCAGGACATCAAAAAAAGTTTTGTAACGATTATATTTTTCCATGTTCCTCAAATATGCAATAAACACATAAGGACTAGAACTAGTGGGGGGGGGCTATTTTTTTATTCATATTATAAAATAGCAATGTTCTTTAAAATTACATGTGAAACAAATCTTAAGATATCTTCGTAAGTGATAAGTATATGTCTATTAATAGCCAGAAAGTATACTTACAAAAGAATGTCTATTTTAATTATTTTTTCATTTGGTCCCTTCAAGCTTCATGTCTGTGCTCCCACTATTATGTTTTCTATAGCTAAGCACCAGGCAGCAAAGTTACTCACTGATCTCATGCTGAGTATTACTCAACAGAATAGAATGCCTGTCTTATCACTTAATTTTATTTTCTCTCCTACTATCCAATCCACTTTTCCTTCCTTCTGCTTTTCTATATTCTTTATAATGGACCCATTCAAAAAGGAGAGGTAGAGAAATAGCTGTAATTGTAAGATAAAATAAATTTATAAACAATTTATACATATTTTGAAACAGAAAAATATATCCTTTTCTGACTCCTTAATCAAGATCTTACATTTCTGAGAAAGAGATATTACTTACTCTGTCACATAACAGACACAATCTATATTTAATAGCCTTTAGTTTGGGGGCATTATATAGTGATTTTTATTCGTTTCTATGGAACTTACTTGCAATTACATGTTTAAGGAAGACAGGTGAAGGTAAAATACAGTGCAGAAAGTTCTCACGTTAAGAATACGACAATATGAACAAAACAGAAGAAGGCTATCATGTCAAATCAGTATGGCAATCTGCCTCACATACCTACTCAGAGTACACACTTCTGAATTTTGAAGAATTGGTCAAATTGCTTAATGGCTCTTGGCTCTCTAACAATTTTAATTAATCTCTGTGCAGGGGACTCCTTGTACTTCCTTTACAGCCTTGGTCCCATGAACTCACTGACTTCTCTTTCTTCACGAGCAGTCAGGGCATTAGACAGAAAAGATGGAGGAACATTACCTGCTCCCCAGGCACCTGACCCCCTCGAGTGACAGCCCAGCACCGTGACCCTCGCTGCCCAATGGGAACAGCTCATGCCCACAAGAACGGTTTGATTTCCGGCCACCCTTTGTGAACTGAGCTGACAGCTGACCCTAGTAACATACTATTATCAGAGTTGGGGGACTGATAACAAAAGAAAATCCCTAAATCTTACATGTCACAGCACAAAGACAGAACTGCCACCTGCTCTCACAACCCAATAGAGCCATCAACAACGCAAAGTGTTTCTGAAATGGGCATTTAAAATTTAATAATTTCAGGGGCGCCTGGGTGGCTCAGTCGTTGAGCGTCTGCCTTCGGCTCAGGTCATGATCCCAGGGTCCTGGGATCGAGTCCCGCGTTAGGCATCCTGCTCAGCGGGAAGCCTGCTTCTCCCTCTCCCACTCCTCCTGCTTGTGTTCCCTCTCTCGCTGTGTCTCTCTCTTGTCAAATAAATAAATAAAATATTAATAAAATAAAATTTAATAACTTCAGAGCTACATTTGAGAGAAGCAAGTTCTAAATATAGTAACAATGTATAGGCCAGTACTTTATACCTAAGGACAGTTGTTCTTAAAAACACTGTTTTCAATTTACCTAGAGTACAAGCTCTGGCCTTTTCCTTTCTGACAAAATGGTTAACAGTGAATGTTACCAAGTAAGGTTAACAACCATCCTTCCCTCTCTCTAAACTACTGCAATGAAATCCTTCCATTGAGCCCTCCTCCTAGCAATAAATGTTCCCAGCCACCATGCTTCCAAAGTGTAGCAGCTTACATGTTTCTCACAGAAGGAAAGCATTTGCCTGGCTTGTTGCATGAACCAAGTTTCACAGGCTTCTTTGAAAGATCAAGAAGTAACTCAAAGGACTACTTATTCTTACTCCAAAGCTTCTTAAACATAGACCCTGCCCACCAATCTCAGTGCTATTCATTTTTTACCTGAATAAAGAGAATATTCTACTAAATGGTCTCCATTACTATCAACTCCCTAATTCAATATGAATTCCAGATGAACTGGTTGGCAAAACTAAGGATTATGTTTATCTCCACCCAAAAAATCTCCACTATTTGACAATTACTTAGAAGATAATTCAGATTTACATCATTATACATATGTTCTTCACAACTAATCTCAAATTAATTTTCTGGCTTTAAAACGGTCTACATTTGCTTTTGGCACTGTATCCTACAACTCTCTGGGGCCCAAGTTCTCTATACATGCTGTTTCTTTTGACTGGAAGCCCTCCCTTCACAGCCCTCCTTAATGCCACAGCAAACAGAGCCTCCCAAAGCCTTCGGGGACCCACACGAGCACCAGCAGAATGCACGCACACCTCTAACAATGTGCTGCTCTGCTATGAACAGACTAACACCACAGTGCCTACTGAACCCAGATCCTGGGACAGGTTCAAAGCATAACTGAAATATACTTTTATGACACTTAGTTTTTTTTTGCAAATGCATCGAACAAACTTACCCCACTTCAAAACAAGAGAAGTTTATGACCAATCTATTCTTAATCAGTTAAATGAGTCAAATGTCGTAATGGACTCATGGCAAAGTAGCTATATAAGCCACACTGAACTAGACACAGATGACCAAATAAGGATGAAAATTAATTACTTCTTTCCCAACAAAACACACACAGGCAGTAAGAGCGGAAGATAATTAAGCAACTTCTTAAAAAAGGAACTGATCACATATAAAGGGCACTCTAGAAGGTCAACAGCGGATGACATGTGTAGTTCCCGGGCAGGCAACTGCACACTAACTACATTAGCAGGTTGTTCGGCTTGTCTTTGTTGTTTGGGTGGGACCAGCACCCCCCACCAACTCTCTCAACACTTTAAGTGGCTGAGGAGGTAGAAGCCTAATTTAACATGTATTATGAAGCAAAGTGGGTAGCTGGGAAATGTAATTAATACATTTATTTACATACATAAGTAAACTATATTTTAAAAGAGACCTATACTCTGAAAAGAAATATCGCTGAGAGAAATTTTAAGACTTAAATAAAGGGAAAGATCTATTTCATTCATGGGTCAGAAGACTTAGTATTAATAAGATGTTAATTCTCCCTCAAATTTATCTATAGATTCAATGAAATCGCAGTCAAAATCCCAGCAGGCATTTTTTACAGAAATTGACAAGCTGATTCTAAAAGTCATATTGAAATACACAGGACCTAGACCAGACTCTGAAAATGAGAAACAAAGTTGAAGGGAAAACACTACCTGATTTTAAGAATTATTATAAAGCAACAGTAATCAAAAAAGAATGGTATTAGCATAAAGAGAGACAAACAGATAAATGGAGGAGAGTCCAGAAATAAACCTACAGATAAAAGACAACTGATTTTTTTTATTTTTTTATTTCTTTTTCTTTTTCTTTTTTGTTATTTATTTATTTATTCATGAGAGTCAGAGAGAGAGAGAGAGAGAGAGAAGGGCAGAGGCAGAGGGAGAAGCAGGCTCTCCACCCAGCAGGGAGCCCGATGCGGGACTCGATCCCAGGACCCTGGGATCATGACCTGAGCCGAAAGCAGACGCTCAACCATCTGAGCCACCCAGGCACCCCGACAACTGATTTTTTTTAAAGATTTTATTTATTTATTTGAGAGAGAAAGACAGAGTGAGAGAGCACAAGCAGGGGAAGCAGCAGAGGGAGAGGGAGAAGCAGACTCCCCGCTGAGCAGGGAGCCCGACATGGGGCTCGATCCCAGGACCCTGAGATCATGACCTGAGCCAAAAGCAGACGCTTAACCGACTGAGCCACCCAGGCTCCCCAAAAGACAACTGGTTTTTGACAAAAGTGTAAGGCAATGCCATGTGAAAAAGATCACTTTTCCAAAACATGGTGCTAGAAGCATTTGGATAGCCACATGAGAAAAAAGTACTTAGACGCACACCGGGTACTGGTACAAAAATTTACTCAAAATGGATATACAGA